TCAATTGAATCTTTCGATTTTGGATTTTTGGATTTGTGTCGTATCCATTTCTATTTTAGATTTGATTTTCAGGTTTTATTTTGGTTTTGAATTTAAGTTACGACTTTGTTGAGCATTAGGTAGCTTTGTCTTGAGTTTTGATTGATTTATGTGGTATTGGATCTATAGTTGGAGATGATGAGCGCAGCAGGTGTTGGGAACTGGATTTGTTGCCGAAGATGGTGACGAGAGGTGGTGACAGAAACTGTAAGAGAATTGAGGTGGGATGGGTTATTTTTCCAACAATATATTAATAATTTAATTTATTTAATAATAATTGAAAAAATAAAATGAAAATAATTAAGAGTAAAATTATTATTTTATATTTGACAATGATCATAGAAGCAACAAAACATTACCATGGGAACTGTCCTGATTATTAAAACAAAATAATAATAAATAAATATAAAAATATAAAAATATTAAGAACCAATCACCAAACATGCAAATTACCGTTAATCATGTAATTTACTTTGAAAAAATAAGTTTTCCTAAAATAAAAGAAATCATGAAAGACATTATTTGAAAATATGCAAATGTTTACATCAAGTCTTGTAATTGATTGAAGCACATACCATAACTTCACCTACTTTTCAAACCTTATTTAAAAAAAAAAAAAAAAAAAAAAAAAAAAAAAAAAAAAAAAAACAAACACTCCAAAGTTGTGTTGGGACTAGTTTGATACTGCATACGAGTATACGACAAACCGAATAGTCAAGGGACAACGTCCTTTTTTTCTTTAAAAAGCTTAATTTTATTAAACTAAGAGGAAGCTAACAAATAAAATAATTATAGAGAAATAGCAAGTAAAGAATTTTGCAGTCAATCTCCCTTTATAGTAGATACTGATTTTGTATCTATTTACTAAAATTGAAGATAGATTATATCATTAGCTAACTAATTGATCAACAACTGCTGATTAATCAGTAGTAGATCAACAGCTACAAATTGTTAGTATATCCTACATTAATGCTATATAATTTTATATATCTTTAAGTATTTAATACTCTTTTGGATAATAAACAAAAACTGTGTCTCTTACATAGTTACATTGATGGGAGCAACAACTACTTTATTGATGTTGTAAACCTTAAATTTGTTCGATACCTATTGCAATCGCCATGAAACGTTGTGATGCCTCCTAACGTAAGTTAATTGATGCAAAATAATATTAGGAAAAAAAATTACAAAGCTTCAAAGGATGCATGTAAGTGTATATGCATTATATATAGATGCCAATTGAGGGATGTTTATGTGCCCAATGAGGAATTGAGGATACCATTTACAGCTTGAAACATGTATACTCAACATCCGTATGATGGAGATTTTTTATATTGGGATTATTTTATGATACATTTAAAATAACTTATTATTATTTCATTTGTTATTACATATGTTATCTCATCTACCTTGCAGTTTTTATTTGGTTGTATTAATTGCATATGTTATCTCGTCACCTCGAAGTTTACGTTATGCCCTATGAAAATACTATTAATACAATTTCCCTTTTTCATAGCATGCTTCCATTATTGATGTACATAAAACACAACTCTCTGAATCATATGTACAATTTCTCTAAACATGTACCTTAAGACACTTATTTCCTTCGATCCAAAATGGATCCTAAGTGGGTTATTACCGAAGATCATAACCAAATTCGACTTGGAAGTGTTGTAAGGGTTCCCAACTTGGCCCCATTTTTTTGTTGTGTATGATGAACTTTGTGAAACATCATGTCACATTAGATAGTACTATGCTATAAGTTAATTTAACAAAATGTGATTTGAAATATCTAGGTTCAACATTCAACGTTCGAATAACAATTTGACAAAAATATAATAAAAATATTATCTTTCTGATATTATTTTTGTTTTTATTATAATCAATTTAAAAGAAGATAACCATAACCACAAAAAATTATAAGATTTTTCCACAAAATATCCAAAAATGACCAAAATAGTAGTGATTTTCTGAGGTAACCTTGAGATTTTCACATAAGAACTTCATAACAATCATCAAATTATCTTGGTTCTCCCAATTATAAGGGTGTTGTGCAAAAATCTCAAAAAATAAAACTGCATAACATCTAGATTTTCGCAAGTGTTGGACTGAAAACGTTATTTATTTATTTTATAATTTTGAAAAAATAACAAACCAACTAGATTTTCGCAAATGACGACCAACAAAAATATCAACAAAAAAAGTCGTAGGCCAATTAGATTTTCGCAGATAGTGACCTGCAAAAATTGTGGTTTTATGGTCATTATTCGCTATTTTGTAGAAAAACTTTAGAAAAATATCTATTATTGTCATTTTCCTCTTAATTTAAGTCATTTATTTGGATTTACAATCGTAATTTTTATCATATTATAGGGGGTTAATGATCTAGGAGGTAATAATGTTTTAATTTTATCCACATTATGTCTCTAAGGTATTTTTTTTGTATATATTACACGAACATGGTTATTATAATCGTTTAAAGAGTGTAATAATGTTTAATTTTATCCACATTAGGTCTTATGGTCTTTTTTATACATATTACACCAATATGGTTGTTATAACTGTTTAAAGAGGATAATAATGTTTTAATTTTGTCCACATTAGATCCTTATTTTTAATATTTTTATCAATTCATCTAACTATTTTACAATTTATATTAGTATTTTGTTAGATGGTTTCATCATTTCGTTTTTTTTATTTTAATTGTCCATTCACCACAACCAATGGTTTCAATTGAAATGTAACATAACAATTTTTGTCATTTTTACAAAAAAATAATAATAATAATAATAATAAAATAAATAAAAGACTAATAATAATCAAAGTCGTAATGATTTAGATTATGTATGACGCACCACAACTAGCAGATAAGCTAGCTTATTTTTCGATCTTTTTTAAGTTATCATGTTTGACAAACCAAAAAGTATCTTATAAGCTAGCGTTTTAAAAAGATCCTTAGACAAGTTTTTAAAAGTTTTTTTTTTTAATTTTCCAAATATATCCCTTAATTAACTATAGAAAACATATTTTTTAAATGTATTTTTATGTCATATAAATTTCAGATAGAAGCCAACGGCGGAACCAAGATCAAAGTCAATTTGGTATAAATTCAATATATTTTTTACTGTTTTATTTTATTTACATAATGTTAATTTTTTTTTTGTCTCGGTCTGTTGTATTAAACAATTTGGCAAGGATGACCAGTAAATATATTTTCATTTTCTTAGTATTAATTTATTATTATTATTATAATTAATTTAAACTGTTTGTTCAGATTTTATAACATGCTTTTATTTTTATGCAATACCAGTAAGTATGAGACGTTTTAATTTTATATATGTAAGTATAAATTTGTCTTAATCTCATATATATTAGATATAAAAATATTTTAGGTGGCAAAATTTTGTTTTTCTTTAAAGCGTTATAGAGTACTTTTTTTTACAACTAGTTTAAGCAAGTTTAGTCTATTTTCTATCATAATTTTTAGAGAATTTTATTATAATATCCAAATTTTCTTAGGTATTTCCTCAAAATACCCAAATATTTAAAAATGATCAACATAACCATGATTTTCGTGAGAGGTGGTCTGTAAAAATCTCTACTTTTTATCATAACTTTTTATAGGAGCTTCATTTGAGCATATCTTTTTAATTTTGATTTTTTTATAACAATGACTTTTTTATAAACATACTAAAACTTCAAATTTGTATGTAGTTAAGATTTAGGGTGTAAATAATTCACTTATGAATTTTACAAAACTAAAAAACTAATTTATGATTAATTAAAACGTTAAAATATTATAAAATTACAAAAAAATATATTTCGATTCTTATTTAATTTCATTAAATTATTTTTTGAATACTAAAAACAAAATTAACTCCAATTCAGATTAATATTATAAATCTGACTTTTAAAGTGGAAAAAAAAAAAAAAAAAAACTAATTTTTTTTTTATCGATATGCATGTTTATTTCAAGAGTATAAAGAAATATAAATTTTGATATGTTTATTTTATTTGATAAGAAATAAATATAAATATTAAAAAACAACAAAAAAAAATGAGTTTTTCAAACAAAAAAATTATTTTTATATATCGACTTTCAATGTAAAAAGATAAAAAATTATAAATTTTAAAAAATAATTCAGCATGTTTAATCTAGTTTTCTATAACTTAATTACATAATATTTTTATAAATCCAGAAATATTTTTGACATCGGTTTTAATTTTATCTACCTAATAATATAATTATATAAATATGTCTTAATTTTAAGACTATAATTATAATAATATACGTTAGTTGTAAACTAACATTATATCAAACATTGTCTCTTTACATAGCCGTAAATTATCTTCTTTTATCAGTATAAACTACTTTCCGAGTTCTACAAACATTCGAATACATAATAAGTTTAATAAAATAATAAAATATATATATTATTTCCCATTAAACATATCCAAAATATCCTCAGGTTTCCTTGCATCGGCGTGAATCCTTAGTTTTATCACATTTCACTATCAATAATGTTATCGGAATATTTTCACTACATTCAAAAATTCAAACGCTTTATCACTTTAAGATTTGGAAACAAGATTTTTTAAGTTCTCAAAAACCAACCAAATCAAACTAAAGAGTATTAGACAACACTAAAAAAAACATTACCATCCTTTAAGAAGAAATCATGAACGACAATATTATTTAAAAACATCAGCCCAAATGTTTACATCAACTGCTTCAACAACATCAAGTACCCTAATTTCACCTAAAACTAAAAAAACAAGGAAAATCAACAAAAAAACAATAAAGAAAAAAAAAAAAAAAAAAAAAAAAAAAAAAAAAACTTAAAGCTTCTGTCATGTTTTGTAAATTTGGATAATAACTTTGGAATGATCAAGAAACCTGACAGAAATTTTAAACGGATTCCATATTAACACAGGAATTTATATTTCTATGATTTCTTACCTCATAACACCATATCTGCAACTCTTTCTTCCTCCTTTACAACTTCATCTTTACCATTTTCTTCAGACACTTCATTCTTCTTGTCATCGTTTTCCTTTACATCTTCGATTGTCTGAACACCCTTTTCAATGCTATCTGATTGCTTTAATTCAGTATTATTATTATTATCTCCATTGTTATTATCCTCTGAACATTGACTTCTTTCATTGTTATCCTCCATTGATCTTCCATACCCTCTGCTTTCACTTTCATTTTCAGAATCATTCTCCACAACCTCTTCGATCAATCTTTCAGCTCCCCTTCCTTGTCTCTCCAAACACTGCAATCTCATCCTCAAATCATCAAACTCCCTTTCCATCAAGAACAATCTTTCCTTCAGTATCAGGTTCTCTTCTTCCAATTGAGCTATATGTGTATCTTGATCATCAACTCTGTTTTCCAGAAGATAACTACTATGATCAGCGCCATTGTAGTTTGGGTAAATCATTTCGAACCTGCTCAAGTCATGATCCAGTCTCCTTTCTACCTCGACATGTTCTTCAACGTCACTCTCACTTGACCCACCTTCGTCTTCTTCATCTTCTTCAGGTGCTTCGGCTTCATTTGATCTAAGTCTGATTAACCCTTTCATTGATCCATACCCATCAACACCCCACTCTTCTTTCGCCATGTCTACTAAAACTTCTCTGGATGGAGAGAAAATCGGGGTGGGTAGAACAGCAGGTGTTACCGGACATGGTGATACTAGAGATGTAATGCCGCCGGCTTTTTTGGCGCGGATTAGAAACGATGTGGTGTTTCTTGGAGCAAAAGGAGCGGATCTGCCGTTATGATTGAACTTCTTCTTCGGGAAGTATCTTCTAGCTTTCAAACGATTCTGTTGTTGTAGTTCGTTAAGCGTAGGGGGGTTATATCCAGCCCCACCGCCGCCGGTGTTGTTGATAAGACTACCACCTCCGCCCATCACCGGTAATTCCTTCCGGTTGTTGTTGTTGTTATTGATCCATTTGTCATTTCCTTTCTTCCCCTTCCAATTCTTGTTGTTTCTTGGTCCCATAGACTTCAATGAAGACGAAGGAAGTCCAGAAGGCTTCATGTTAAGGTTTTGGAACTTGAGTTGATCCACTTGCGGCGGAGGCCACATGCCATAGCCACCACCACCACCACCACGGTGGTTCAACGATTGATTCACCATCATTTGCGAAGGATTCATCAACTGGTTCACAAACATCTGAGGGTTCTGGTTATTCATTACCTGTTGTGGCTGACTCATCACAGGCGGCAACGGCTGTCCGATACTCATCATCTGCGACTGATTCGCCATTTTCGATTGATTCATCATCTGAGACTGATCGTTCATCAGGACTGCTAACTGAAATCAGTCTATAAGCCTCCGAGAACAAGTCGGTATCAACAAATCGATACCCTCTTTCAAATTCAAAAGATGATTCCAAACAGATCGAAAAGAAAACTACAACAAATTCAAAACCCTAAGGCTCCTAATTTCGAGATCGTTAAACAATAAAATAAGTAAATGAAAAATAATCGCGATTCAAACACAATTGAAGTTAAATTACTGATCAAACATCACATACCAGACCAAATTGAAAAACAACAAACCCTAAACCTATCAGAAACCAAGATTGATTCTCGATATTCACGATTATCTGTCCGATCTATCACAAACAGGGTTAAGATTAACGGTTTTCAGCCACAGAATAGACTATTTGATTTTATGAATATCAAGAATTTTGTTTTGCGATGTTTAGTTCTCGTTTTGGGAATCGCAAGAGGTAGCGTTTATGTGGAGACGAAGAATGCCCGTGGTTGATTTATATAGGCAGATAGATGATGATATGGACGGTTTTGATTTATTTGTTTGATCGGACGGCTATAATCGGTTCTTACAAATCTGAGTCGGTTAAGGTTATATCTGCAATTAGGAAAAGTAATGAATATTATATTATAAAAACCGTTTTTGTTAAAATATCAAAAAATCTTATAAATAATATTATTTACTTTTTCATAAAGCCAAATTGAAAGTTTATAAAGTACTCTTAAACTTATATTAAACTGATATTGAAGAATTATGTGGTAAAACCGTAAAAGGTGAGAATGTAACGAGGCATGTGATCTATTTTGTATGTCTTTTTATTGTAACAAAATTTGAATACATTAAAATTTATTCTAAATTATATAAGTAAAAAAATCTTTAAATTGTTAAAACAAAACATTTAAATTTGCAAGTTCTGTTTGACTTACTATTAAAATATATTTGAGACTTTTATTCGTTTAAGATAAAATATAAATTTTAATCAACATACTTTAGAATTTGTCACTTTTGACAATACAGCAACACAACACACCTTGTAAATGGTGCAAATAAGATGAAGGTAAGTCAAAGAGTTGTTGATAGGAAAATACATGACAAATCCATAAAACAAGAATCCTAGAAACCGCAAATAAGACTAATCAAGAAATGAGTAAGCGTTTGTGCCGACTTGGTAAAGCATGTGGAATATATGGTGAGTAACACGTTCACCTTTGTTCAAATCCTGACACTACTCAGTTTATGTGATCAAAGGTTCGCCTGTATGAATCTAAGACATGAGACATAACCTCATATTTGCAACAGGGTATTAATCGGTACACAAAAGCTAGTGTAGAAACCTCGTTATGGAATGTCCATTTGCCAAAAAAAACATGTATAGTAAAAAAAATAGAAAATCAAATCTGCACATATGAGCAAACAACTGGTATAGTATGACCAATAAATATCATGACACAAAACAATATAATTGGCTAGCTACTCATTTACTATGATATTTATTTGTTGCACCCACATATATAAGGTCATGTCATCGAAAGAGTAAGCACTTTTATGCCAAGCTTCACATTATCCTTAATTTCCTAACATGATGTTATCTCCACCTCTTAACTCAAGCATCAATGCCTATAATCTCTTCATTGTTGTTAATGATACACTCAGTTGGTACATATAAATGACAGGTGTTAAATTGTCATTCCTTAAATTTGTTGGTGATACTCACAATTGTTAATGTATTTCTTATAAATACATTAAGTAGCATATCTAACAAAGTTTACCACACATCTACTTCAACATCCTTGTTTTAGTTTCTTAATCTTTCTTTTCATGATCCTTTTTTCTTGCTTAATCTTTGGATTCGTATAACATGTCAAGCCTAATAGCTACTTTATAAAACTTCATTTTCAGTTTCAACGGGACCTTCCTAATAAATTAGACTCTTAAAGTCGCCCTAAAATTTAAGCAATCTCACCTTTAAGCGATGGGTGACATTGATGTGCATAAAAGTACCTATTAGTTTCAACTTTATAACCTAACAAACTTTTACTAACTATGTACTTATAAGCAATGTACCTAGTCAAACTATAGAATAGTTCAGGCAAGTCGGGTGTCAATCATAGGAAATGATATTTAATTAATAGAATAATTACTAAAAGTTAAACTAAGAAAATAACTAAACGTGTGGGTTTTATCTGATTTTACAAGTCCGTATTAACTTAATTAAAATACTCAACTAATTACTTAAGTAAACAACTAGAAAGACGATTTAAAAGCAAGAATAAAAGATACTCTCGTTTAGCTTTGAATCCCTCATTTTTCCTATGGTTGATTTCAAGACAATGGATTAATTATGTTAGTTACCAAATAAAAGTTACTAGTCATCATGATCAGACTAACTAGCATAAGTCAATTTAACAACTGTAACCCTAATGATCATGCAAGTTAAGGACACTAAATTGATTTTAAAGTTAGTTTGGACTCTAAATGACAGAATCTAAAGAATATTATTCTTTGGTTAAATGTAGTAATCAGGTAAATATTATAATCAAATACTGTTCTTTAACACAGTTAAGCAATTAACTTATCACCTATACTAGGATATGGCCAATCCTATCTCTAAGCAATTTAATGATCGTAGACAACTAGGTAAATCAATTGCATGCATTCAATTGCAGTTTAACAACATAGAGCTTGAGACAAGACAATAAATATAGAAACTTTAACAAGCTAGGTTTAGATTTATTAAATAATATTTAATGCAAAAACCAACTTCATCAATCTTTCAAACAAGAAATCAATACATAGTAATTAAGAGTTCATCTAATCTAAATGAAAGCAAGGGTTTTATGCCCATAATCATAGCTAAAAACACACAAACACAAAGGAAACTAGGCTAAACATGATTAAACTAGGCAAACCAAATGTCTAGATGCGAATCTTTGCTCCAAAATCTTTATCATTTGATTTCTAGTCGATTTATACCCTCAAAGGGGTCTTAGAAAAGGTATTTTTCGTTAATAGTCACATCCTTAAGCCATCTAACCTCTAGAATCGACATAATGTCCAATATATATATATATATATATATATATATATATATATATATATATATAATTACCAAAATTTGGCCACCACATCGTGGTTGACCTCTAGTACGTGTTGGTCCACAAGTTTATCTCGTATTCTCCAAGTCAGCGTCAGGAATCGCGACGATTCCATTCACCACGTCATGGTTGTGTCACCACATCGTGGTTATCGAGAATCAACATTTCCTCAAAAAAAAGTTTTCTGAAACTATGTCTAGTTTTCATATCATTTTGAATATCATTAATGGGAGTTACAAGTCACGAGATATGGCCAAAATACTGATGTGGGGTCGAGCTGTCCAACAACATCCTTTTTGTGTCTTCTTATTGCCTAAGCTCGCATTTTCCTGCTTCCAGCTCCTCATTTGCTGCCTTTTTTTTCCCGAGAAAGTCTTTGCTGCTACAAAACATAATTTAAACTTAATAAGTATCATTTGTTCCATTTTAATCATAATTGTAACTAAAAGTATTGGAAATATGCATTAAATATGTAGTTAATTGTGCACATATCACATATCCATCCACACATCCTCCTTAGTGAATCATAGACACCAAATATTTAAAGCGCAGCATGAGGATAAGAGTTTCATTCCCTATAATTATGTATATGATTTCTTCATTCGTTTCCCCCATTAATATTACACCAAAGATACTTCATTTTAACAATGTTGATATGTAGTCCTTTTTCTTCTAACATCGTTCTCCACACATCCAATTAATCATTTTATTTCAATCATATACATAGCCATCAACACAATATCATGGTCAAAAATATACATGAAGGCACTCCCCCTCTGATCTCACATGACAACTTGTAAAAGATCTAGGCGAATATATACATATTGAGATCTGAACCCTCGTGGAGCCCAATATCAACCAGAAAGGACGATGTGTTACCAAATAGGGTATGCACATATGTCGAAAAACAACAACACATATAGTGTATATCCATGACATATCTCTTTGGGGCATTTCTTTATTGCAAAGTCCTCCAAAATCACCTTTAGCATACATTAACGTATGTCTTCTCCAAGTCAATGAATATTATATAGAGAATATTAATTTAAAATTATATTCGAATGGTCATAGTGTAACGTCCAAAAAATTAAGACCAAAATTTTCAATTTTTAAATCAATAAAACCATCACTCATAACATGTTCATAAAACCATGATAAAATCAGAGTATGATTGAAACATCTGATACATCATAGTCAAATAAAAAGCGGAGTGATATGGTATGTGTGCGATGTGATCACCCCGAGCTCTTCCCCTTGGATCCGAAAGTACCTGAAACATAAACTAAAAACCATAATCACAAAGCTTATTGAGTTCCCCAAAACACCACATACCATGCATATCAAACACATAATGGTCCTCACCCATCATCGCGTCCCGTCGGGCATCAAACCGCGCTCAGAATAGATTTGTCAGTAATATGAGATGGGCCCCACCACATCACATTCATCAGGTTCTGACCGGTATACATACAATCACATAAACGCATGAAAGAATTCCAAAGATAAATAACATACATGATAGTCATCAAGCCCCGCCTGACATCGGGCCCACCCAACATACATATAAACACATAAATACATGAAAGAGTCACAAAAGTAAATAACATATAATATACTCACCAGGCCCCGCCTGGCATCGGCCCCGCTCGATATACATATCAGATATCATACATACAGGGACACGCAAACAACTATCATACTAATCATAATAAACCATGGGTCGACATTGATGTCTTCGACCCGCCAAACACAGTGAGGTAACCCAGCTTGAGCTGCTGAATCTCTCAGATAAAATCTCAGACTGATGATCTGAAAAAAATCCCCGCTCTAACACCATCAAATAATACCCATTTAATAATCGGTCCACAACCCATAATTGGAATCCTATTCCGATATCCAACCTTCTGAGTAAAATTCCATTTTACCTTT